AGGGTAATCTACTGCGAGAATCACCCCTTCAAGTTGTGCTGTGCGTCCCGGAGCCTATGTTTTTCTCATCATCTTCGCCTAAAGAAGAGAAGATCGTAGAAAAAATTGAACTTTATTTACGAACTGATTCACTCTGTGGATAATAGGCCTTACATCGTAGTAAAACAGTAGTTGTAAGCGAAATTTTTATATTTAATAAATAGTTTGTGATGGAGGACCTGTCTCAGTAGGTTTTTCCACTCCCACACGACAGTGCTGACTGCTCGACTGTCGCGACACTTTTTCCCCAATCGGCAAACCTCACACTACTGCAAGAAGAAAAATCTACTGTTTCACAACATATTAGAGAGGTTGAGGCGCACATTTTAAACGTGTACATGTGACGTTCGGTGCCACTTTCCCGTAAGCCTAAAAGTTTGACGATGGTGTTTGGAATGTCGAGCGTGATTCCACCGACTATCCAAACACCATTGTCAAACTTTTAGGCTTACAGGAAAGGGCGCCGAACGTCACACGTACACGTTTACATGTTTAAAATGTGCGTCTCAACCTCTCTATTTTACTACAGTTGCCCCATAATAATTCAAAAGAGGACGAGCCTGCACAAAGTATTATCTCACAAATTGATAATACTGTACAAAATATGTGCTCAACTATTTCAGAAGAAATACTGCTAAATTACAATGATCCCTATTCGCCTACTATTACAAATAAATTAATATATTATTCCCTTGTCACACATGGTCTGGATCAAGGCAACAACATTAACACATTTAAAGCAGACAATTCAGGACAAAAATTTACAAAGGACTGGTTTTATGTTAAACAAATGAATGGAAAAATTGTTAAAAGAAAGTGGATTTTATATTCCATTAATCAAAATGCAGTATTTTGCTTTCCTTGAATGCTTTTTAGACACAAATCACATAATCTTTCAGGCCCACAGAAAGGATTTCATGATTGGAGGATATTCATCCGGTTATTCCCTTACACAAAAATTCTCCAGAGCACTGAAATTCAAATGTGAAATGGAAAGTGATGGAAAATAATCTAAAATCAGGAAATGCAATTAATGATTATGCAGTTAATTCAATTAACAAGGAAAAAATAATGTGTGAAATATTGAAAATAATATTGGATACTATTCTATTCTGTGCCAAAAATAATATTGCTGTTAGAGGTTCAAATGAAATTATTGGAGATCCAAATTGTGGCATTTTTTAAAATTTGATTGAATTTGCTAGCTATTTAAATTGATCTTTATGCATATTGCATCTTCATTATTTACGATGCTGATCACATTTGACATCTTGTTTTTTTGATTCGCAACTAAGCATATAGAAAATTCTTAAAAAATCAGTTTATGCGTATTGCATCTTCATTATTTACAATGCTGATCACATTTGACATCTTATTTCTTTGATTTGCCACTAAGCATATAGAAAATTCTTTAAAAATCGGTTTATATTTTTCAAATACAGTGGAACCTCGGTATACGTCTGCTTTAGAATACGTCCAATTCGGAATATGTCCTGTTTGGACGAAACAAATTTTGCTCGGTATACGACTTAATTCAATTATATGCGCCATCTATCAACAAGTAGCACTATCGGTGTACTACACTAGACTAGACGTTCGCAGTGCTACGGTTTATAACTTTGTTAAATTTCTTCTGATTTTAATTTGTAAGTAACATTTTATTATTTTTATTAATCATGAATTGCAAAAGGGCAACAGAAAAATAAAAAAATGACTAGAATCACAATGGAACTGAAAAAAGAGATTGAGAAATATGAAGGTGGCACACGTGTTCGAGATTTAATGAGATTTAACTGTTGCATTCCGTATTCCGAGAACAACAATATTGACAATCTTGAAAAATAGTCATTATTAAATCTGCTAATGTTGCAAAAGGGGTTAAATCAATTTCTAAACAGAGATTGAAGGCATTAGATCGTGTCGAGAAATTGCTTTTGCTTTGGATAACTGAAAAACAGTGTGCCAGCGACGGCTTTTTGGAAGAAATTATTTGCGAGAAAGTTAAAAGGATACATGCTGATCTCATAAAAATCAAGCAGAAACTAGCGAGGAAAGTGAGGTGTTTAATGCCAGCCATTTTTTTTTACATGAGAATGGATTAATCATTTTTACATTACTTCTTATGGAAAAGGTTGTTTTGGTGTATGTCCTATTCGGTATAAGTCCAAACACCAGGAACGGATTAAGGTCGTATACCAAGGTTCCACTGTATATTAATGACATAAGGAAATTTTATATAAGAAATATTTTTACACTAGTAAATTGATATAAATTGTAAAAGTGCGTGATTTCTTATTATATTGAAGATGATACTAAGTCTAGCATATTAATTTGACAATGCTTTGCACACTGTAAGTATGTTTATTGTCCTATTTTTCAGCATTAAGTAAATAACTTTGTTTGGTTCAGTGTTCACATTATTATAAATTTATAGTATAGCTATCATTGATTGATGCAGTGTATTGTAATAGATATTAAAAATAAAAACTGAAATAGTAACAATTTATAAATGAAGATATTCATGTATTTTTGTCATTCTGATAACAGTTTTTCTCTTGAAAGTTTGATCTACCATCTAAACTTTAAATTTGTATTTTATATTACAGTACATTACGAGAGACATTAAAAAATATTTATCTTTCGTTTGTGCTTGTGTTTCATTTCATATAATGTTTAAAATCATTTAATAAATTATGTATATTTTTTATAAATTAGTTATATTTTTATTAAAGTATTTTACGAATTCTTATATATTGACTGCTCTGAACATTACAGATATATTATAATTTTTTATAATAATATAGATTTATTATTATTATAATGATTTGGAATATAATAGATCTATAATTTTTAAGATAAAATGCACTTTTAGATACATCTTAAATTTTTGTTAGCAGTTGTATCTTATTGAAGTCACAGAACCAAAATACAATGGTACTATCTTTGATATTTACCAAGTAAACATTAAAAATCTATATTGAATGCATCAAAAAGTATAATTGATTATATGTTTGAATTTTTGCTATAATGAAGTTACCAACACAACTATTTACTATTATTTTTTAAAACAGGAAATGACTGAAAATTTTCTAATTCAATAAAAAAATAATTAGATTAAGTAACATCATAATTATTTTTAACTTGTATTAACATGTGTAGACTTATGATGTATTAACATAAGTATTTCTTAGCTGATATATTTTGTTGTTACAAAATTTTTATGATATTTGAAAGAACATTGTATATTGATATAATACAGTATATACAGTATTAAGTGATTTAGAGAAAATAAAAACAGCTTATGAAAAGCTACTTAAAGTTTGGGTTAATGTACTAACAAATTCTACTATCAGATCATACTAAAGTTTGGATTAACATAGTAACATTATCACAGATGCTTTCCCAAAATCATGTCTGAAAATTATTTATTATTTGAATGTTTGCAATTTTAAAACATGTTTTAGAAAAATAGATTAAAACTGATTAAAATGCTTTTGAATAGATACTGTATATTATTCTTTTTATTATTGTTTGTTAAATATATGTATAAATTTGAATTGATGCATTTTAACAGAAATAATAAAAAATGATTCTATAATTTGACAATTATGATTTGAGTGCAATGCAAAATAACAAAATAAGTATTTTGACATACTTCTGTGTCAAGGTAACTAAAATGCTAAAAAAAAATTTTATTTTTTAAATAAAATGTTGCTTTTATATTAAAATTTATAGAAGATAGCTTTAGTGTCAGTTCTATCTTTCTGAATTTGGTTAAAAAAAATAGAAATGAATGCAGAAAGAGAGATTTTTTATTCATTAAAGGACACCTTAACCATTTAGATTTGTGCACTTTCAGTTCAAAGGAAAGAATAAGAACATATTATATTGCATAGAAGTTAATGATTTTCCATTTAATAAATTATGGAATTTCATTTATCAGCATTCTTAGTTTAGATAGTAATGGATGAATCAAAATTTTTCATTTACCTCTTAAAACTAAACCTTTTCTATATTTAAGATACATCATTGATCATAACATGGCATAGTCCGATGAAGAATTTCTTGTTTTGCATTATAATTTTCTTCCTTCTTATATAATAAATGTGAGAATGGATTTGAGTCTTGAAAGTGCTTCAGTTTGTGATGTACTTTTGTTCCAATAAAATAGTTTGAAAGTATAGAAGTTTATTATCTAGAATTTTTTCTATGCTGTTTTATATTTATTTAATTTTAAATGTTAAATATATTCGATGTTAAAATACATTTTGGTGAATTAGGCTTATTGATTTTAGTAAACCTAGTTTGTATTTCTATTATATAAAAATTATGTAATAGATTTAATTAGTTATTCTAACTTCATAAATTGTCAAAGAATAATTTGGAAGTGTGAAATTCAGCATTATGCTTTAATTATCTGTATAGCACATTAAATATTATATTATAAAACTTCNTTTTTTTTTTTTTTTTAGATCATCTCTGTTTGGCGCAAGCTAAAGCAGGCAAATTTATTTTTAAAAAAGTTTTTCAAGCCTAAAAAATGAAATTTAACATATGTATTTTTCTTCTACATTAATTTTATTACTTCAGTTTTATTAAAATTTCTTCTATAATTTTTCTCTCTCATATTTGTTACTTCAATATTTTTACAAAAAATTATACTATATTCAATTTGATATAAACCATACTTTATAAGTTTTTTCCTGATGAACATTGTTATGAAGATGATCATTTGAATTCATTAACAGTTTTTTTCAAAAAAAAAAAACATTATTTTTAATTTAAATTTCTTAATATTTTTCTCATTTTAATACTTTATAATAATGAATGATGAATATATTACTTTATTAATGAAATATATGAATATTTGAACTTCATGTTTAATAGAAAAAATTCAAATTTGTGTATTGTACAAGTCATTAATATTTTAATATTAAATTCACATGTAAATTTCTTTGTAGAAATTGAAGGATTTGACAGAACAATTAAAGCATGATCCCAATTACTCCTGTAGCCAAGGTGAATGTGATGTTAATCGACGAAAGAATCGATATAAGGATATTCTTCCTTGTAAGTAGTTTAATATTTGTGGACATTAAATTTAAAAATAAATTCATCTTTTATAACAAAATTATACAAAATAAATTTATTATATATAATTTTGTTATAAAAGATAAATTTGCAAATTTCTTGAGATAATCATGATAATTTCGTGACACACACAAAATACACACAAAATTATCGTGTTTGAGATAATCAAGCAATTTGTAATACAGTTACATTCTTTTAACCTGACATTGTCAAGACTGACACATTACTGGGTTATCAAAAATGCTGCCATATCAGACAGTGGAAGTTTTTCCAGTTTCATTCCCCTGGACACAGTGTTACATTATGTGTAACTTCATGTGTAAAACTGTAAAAAATCTAACTTTTATGATTGTTTAACATGGCAATTTCAATTTTTCTAGACTTTTCCTACTTTTGATTGGCTTGAAACAAGAACATGCTATTTTTATTTTGTGCTTTGTACACTTTTATTGTCTATAAATACAGATGTACAGATTTAATTATCAAAGTACATGAATAGTAATGTATTGTAACTGTTTTCATGATAATTATTGATATCAAATGTGCTAAATATTTCTGCTTATAACATAAAACCTGCACACTAATGTCTTTGGAAGAGTCTCTAGAAAAATCATGCACAAACTAACTGCATACCTAGCAAAGCATTATGTTATTTTGGCATTTGTCATTTCTAACAGGAAAACCCACATCCCTTTCCAAGAACTGCACATTTTGAACACTTTTATGTGAAAATTTTAACTCCCAGTAACTAACCCATCTAGTCCACCAAATAACCCCTCCCCCAATGCTAAGCTTGACTTTTTGGGCTCAATGTTGCTGGCTTATCGGTTGCTAGTGTACTGAATGCCTAGTTAATGGAATTTCACTGTAATAGGGTGTTGACTTTATTCATTTAAGCAATTGCTTATCACTACATTTAACCTTACAGACTACAGTAGAGCGTTGATTATCCAAATCGATTGGGGACTGGGGTTGTTTGGTAAATCGATATTTCAGATAACCGATTATGTACGAAAAAATATATTAATCTATCCCATGTTGAAATTTTTCTCCGTTGCATGTCGCTTCGCGTCGATGTTAAGCGTAACGAAGACTATTGTATCATTAAAAGTTATTTCTTTATTTTGTACAAACGAAATAAATATATTGAAAAATATAAAAACAATAAAAAATTATACTTCAGAAGTTAATTTAGTATCAAAAACGTAAAATATTTGAGTAGCCCAAGACATAGCCAAAGATTGCAGCGCCACTGGCGAAAATTTAAATTTGCCGACTGGAATTCTTTCGGATAATTGACTTTCGGATAATCGATGCTCTACTGTAATTCGTTGCATCGACTGGAAATATTTTCCATTTAGACTGTCCATGCAATCAATTGGCATCACCCTTCAATCCAGACTTAAATAGATCACTAAATGTAATTATTGGGTTGATTAAAAAATTCAATTTGTTTGTTGATGATGTGCTATCATTGAATTAATTGAAGAGAATCCACATTGCATGACCAGGGATACTGCAGAAGTGTTATCTGTCATTCAGGAATTAGTTGTTTGACATTTATGCAACTTAGGATATACATGTTATATTTAGGTGCCATATTAATTGAGTGAGAGAAATCTGATAGATAGAATATATCCTTTGATTTGATTTGACGAACAACCAAATGGATTACTTTTGAAGCAACTAATTAGTGGCAATGGAAAATGGATTGTTTATCATAATATGCAACAAAAAAGATCCTGGAGAAAGTCAATTGATTTCCCTATAGCTTGCCAAAAGCCAGTTTCCAATATAAAAAAAAGGTTTTGTTGATTGGACTGGAAGGGAATTATATATCATAAATTACTATCTCAAAATCAGATCGTTAATACAGTTCCTAACAATAATCTGAAATTAGTCTTCAAAGAAAAAATGGTCAACATTAGGAAGAAGAAATATTGTGTAGAATAAACTTTTGTCATACAGGCGTTAAATTACCAATAACTGTCATCAGACTGACAAGCATTTTCAACGTTAATTATTTTTGTCTTCTTCAGGTCATTAAAACTGTTAAAATTCCTTTTTTGATTACAAATAACTGTCCGTTCCAAGTGTATTAACGTTTTAGAATGGAAGCAACAGTAGAACATAAAACAATTTTCAAATAAAAACATGTGTGGTTGTGGGACAAGGTGGCCATAATAAGACAGTGCAATAACAGAAATATTATATATATATATAATTAATAATAATAATATATTTTAAAACATAGAATGTACTTAGATATATAGAAAATATGCTTAGGCATGTAGAATGAAAATTTATTTATTACATATTTATTAAAGTTTGTGTGTTTAGATCACAGTGAACTTTGTTTAATGACTAAATTACTGTTTATGAAACTTTTTTAATTGTTTTTTTCAATTGGTGTGTATAAAAAAATAACTCTGAGTGATAAAACAACAAAATTAAAAAAACAAAAAATCATTTCTAGACACTTTTTGTATTTAGAGATATTTATGATTAAATCACTGTAATGAAGTTTTAGTGTATAACAAAATTAAATTTAAAAACAAGTAAGATGTTAGTTATTTAAAAGATTACAAGTTTGATTAAATTAGTTACGGGTAACATAAATATTGAATTATAGAAAGTAATTTGTAAAAAAATTTGTAATAAGGTGTTTTTTTATTTTATTTTAGATAATTATACCCGTGTTGTCTTATCTGAATATCCTGGAGTTCCTGGATCTGATTATATTAATGCCAATTACATTAAAGTAAGCTTTAATTTTCTATTATTTTTCTGTTTCAGTATAATTTATTTTAAAAATAAACTTATGAAATTATTGTTTTTTCTCTTTTCTTATCTGTAAAAATGTTTGTTTTCAGGGTGGTAGTGGTTCTTTGGCCTATATTGCATCACAGGGACCACTTCCTAATACCATGGTTGATTTTTGGCGGATGATATGGGAGTGTGAAGTACAAGTAGTAGTAATGGCTTGTAAAGAACAAGAGTCTGGTAAAGTAAGTAAAAACATTTTTTAGTATAATGCTCTATAATAATGGTAATATTAAAAAAAATATAAAGTAATAAAACTATACAGTTACCGTTGTATTCTTCTATAATTTAGAATCATATTATATGAATTAATGCTACACATTATTGAAATAATTTTTCAAATAATATGAAACTTGTAGGGTCTAAAATGTTAGATACTACCTTGCACTAAAAGTCCCTTCTAAAAAGCAATGAATCAAATATCCAACCTTCTATAAATTTCAATTCATTTTATGTTTGTAATTTAATTTGTTTGCATATTCTAGAACAAATATTTTTTGATATGTATACTGATATACGATGATTATTTTTTATTTCATATTTGCAAAATACATAACTTTTCATTGTCCATTTTACAGTATAATTCTAGTAATTTATCTATTCTTGTATGGATTAGCATAGTTTATGTAATAAAAATGTGACCAGAAAATGTAATGCTAGTGTTATATTTTCTGGTTTTATTACATATAGATAATTTTTTAAAGCTTGCTGTTTATACAGTAGAGTCCCGAAAACTCGGCCTAATGTGGACCAAAGGGTGACTGAGTTTGTGAAAATGCCAGGTTATCAGAAATGGGGTTAAAAAAGAATAAGTACGAGTGTTTCCTCAGAAAATACTGTATTGTATGTGTATGTATTGTTTGTTTGAGAATACAACAGAGTATAAACTGCCCAAATATCCTTAAACAAAGGAAAAGTATGTACTTTATGAAGGCATAGAGCCTTTACTACATGAAAATGAAAATTAATGAATACACAGTGTACAGTAATTTACCTGATAAGACAGACCTCAGAAAAATACTTTATGAGGCATAAAGCTGTCTATAATGAAAATTAACCAGGGGTTTTTTCGCCCTGCCAGGGTGTGGCCGAATTATCTGGATTGCCAGGTTATCAAGTGCTGAGTTTTCAGGACTCTACTGTACTAGTTAACTGTTTAAAAAGACTGTATTAAATAGTCAAGTAGTTAAATGAATAGGTAACTACTAGCTTTACATTTTTGCCAATGTAATTATTTTCTAATCTGTCTATTGTGTTTCTCATTTTTTCCTGTCTCTAGTTCTGATTTTATATTATTTTTGATTTCTCTGGAAACAGTTTTAAAATATTTCACAAAAGTATGTTTTTTTATTTTATTGTATGTTATTTTTGTTATATCAAAGCATTTCTCAAGGAACTGTATCAAAAATATGTATAATTGAAATTTATGTCAAGATAAACCGTAAGATAGCAGAACTAGCAGTTATATGAATAAACTGTTTATACAACTGGATGCATTTTAAATAAACACAATAATATCAAAAAATACTATACTGAAATTTTAAAAGTTCATTAAAGGTTTTGGAATTTGACTGATGAATCAGTTAGGAAATGATTTGGCAAAATTATGAAATTTTTTATTATTTACATTTATTAAAACTAACTCTATAGTATTTTCAGTTTGGATGATATTTCCCCCCACACCTCATAATTTGAAGATGGATTAATTTATTTTTCTTGGTATGAGTGCTTAGAAACATGATTATATTTATTATGAAATGAATACCCTAACTTTAAACATTAAAAAATTTACATATTGAAATTATGTAGTTTCAAATGTGTGAAATTTTATTATTCATGTGAAGTATTTTTAATGTTAATAGGATCTTAAAAAACGATAACATCAAAGCTGGAACAATATTCAGATTTGTGCCTTTCTCTTCTTACTTCTTTCCAGCACATAGTTTACTAGTTTAAACAAATGTTTTGGCCACTTATTTAGAATAATTCATTGTGTTTCAAAGGATTTGTCTAAATAAGCTATTTATATCTGATGAGTCCAATTATCAGATATAAATAGTTTATTTAGATGAAAGTGTTGACAATATTTATTCTTTGAGAATTTGATTAACAAATTGAATAATTAATTTTCTATTAATTTCTATCAATAAATTATTAAGTTTTATAATTGAAGTATTTATATCAAAGAAAGACAATTAAACGACTATTCAACTTTTAAATTAAACAACTTTTAAATATTTCATGTTTAAAATAAAAGGTTTATGTGAAATTAAGCCAATATGTAATAATCAAAATCCGCAATTCTAAGCAGTTTCCAGAAAAAGGAATTAATTTTAAGTTATTGTGTTTGTATGCTCTGGTGCACAAGAGTGAGTGGCATGATGTATCTTGGCCTAAGAGTCTGTATCTTATGGCTGTTCTGGGTTTGAATATCTTTTTTTAAGATTTAATTTATGCTTGCAGGAAAGGTAGGTTCCAGTTTTTAATACTGAAATACTTTCATATATATTTACTAATTGTGTATTTTTATTCTATTGGCTCCTTATTTTAATTGTCTTCTCATTCAACTTACCCAATTGTTCCCGATAGCATAAATAGACATGAACCACAAATTAAAGGGAGCTGAAACATTCTATTTAGCTAGGAATTGATGTCACAGCTGTATTTAAAGTTACACTGATTTGTTTGTGAATGGAAATTGGATAAAGGCCTACTACTTGCTGTTTTTCATTTTGACTGAGTTAATCACAAATACTTTGTTTCACCAACTTTCACATCATTTGTAGTTATTGTGTGTCTTTGGACAAATTTTATTTTAATTGAAAATGAAGAATTGTTATTTAAAGTTGTTAATAAATTCAGTTGTGGGCATTAAATATGTATTTAAAAATTATTCATTAAATAAGTAAATTAGTAAACAAATGCAAAAATAAGTAATTTGATAGTGGAAAAAATTAATCAATTTTTCCTGCAAAATTAAAAATTAAAAAAAGAAAATGAAATATGAAAAAATTCTTTAAAAATCAACAGTCAAACTCAGAGCGACCATAAGATATGGACTCACAAGCCAAGATGTAACCACTACTCCACTTACTCTTAAAAACATATCTACACCAGAGCATATAAATACAATAATTTAAAATTGGTTCCTTTTTTCTCAACTGTTCAAGATTGAGAACTTTGATTATTATATATAGTTAACTACACACAGTATGTTAGAATTATAGTTAACCACAGTTAACTATAATTCTAACATACCTCTTCATATAAAACAAAACATATTTAATATGAAATACACTAAAATCAAGAATAGAACTAGTATAAGTACTAAACAAATCGAACATTTAAATACACTAAAGAAAAAATTTATTCTTTCAGGATACCCAAACAGAATCCTTAACATTTGGGAAACAGAAATAGATAAAAAAACAGATAAAACAATAAGAATAGATCCTAAACAAGCAGAAATAAAATACATTCGTTTCCCATACATAAAAGGTTTATACGAAGAAGTTAATAAGGAAGTTAAAAAAATTAATGTAAAACTAGTTCCGACATATGATAAGCTACTCTCCAGATTAAATGCAAAACAAGTTAATAAAACAAATATAACAAAGAAAGAAGAAAGTAAAAACGTAGTCTATAAAATTCCGTGTACATGCGAAAATAAAAAATTTTATATAGGTGAAACTAAACGTAAAGTTAAAGTAAGATTGAAAGAACATATAGCCGATTTGAAATATCGTAGACTAAATTCTGCTTTTCATGAACACTGCCTTTTAAATAATTGTAATATAGACAAAAATAATATAGATATTTTACACAGAGAAAAAGATACATATAAAAGAAAATTCAAAGAAAGTATAGAAATAATCAAAAATCAAAATAGTATAAATAAAAATCCTAGCATCTCTATAAACGAAAACTGGTTAAAATTTTTATATTGATTGTATTCACTAGATTCAAATTATTATTATTGTGATCAATGTGCTAATTAATAATTATTGAACTGTTAAATAAATCAACAATAACAAAAAACTGTAATGTTATAATGGGAGTCAAATAATATGTAAATTTATATTAAATAATGTTTACCAACTTCAAGACATTGTAATATCATTAGTTCAAATAATAATCTATAATAAATATTGAAATGTTAAATAAATCAACAATCATACATTGTAAAAAAATATAGTAGATGTCAGATATGTAAATTTATATTGTAGAAGTTATGTAAATTCGTATTATATTGTCAACGCGTATTAAAGGAAATAAGGATTTTGTAAACAGATTTATGAGTAGAAGGAATAATCAATTGTATACCAATTTGATAATTGTTGTCCAATGTATGTTTTAGATCAAGGATTTTATAGAACTGTTTTATAAGTAAAAGGTACAATCAATTGTGTACAACTTTAATAACAGCCGTACTCAAGGTATGCCTTAATAGAAGATAGTTTTATAGATTCTGTAAAACTGATGTATAGTTTGTATATATGTCGTATACTCCCCTAATATTATAGTTGGCTAAAAGGGAAAAAATATTGTGAACAAGCTGATGTTACTGGAAAATATCGGGAGTAGCTGTTACTTCAATTTTTATAAAAAAACTTGTATGCATGGGTATGTTTATATTTTTATGAATTTTACAAAACTTGTGTATTTTTTTGTGTGTATGTTATATCCTCTTTTAATGTTTTAGTTGGCTGAAGAGGGGCTTAAAAGCCCGAAACGTGTAAAAAAATTTTTCACACGTATCAACTAAATAAAGACGAGACAACCCGCCAAGTGTCTTAATTTATAGCACTTTATTGTGTTAGAAGCATAAACGAAAGCACGGTTTCATATCATCAAAATAAGAAGTTAGAATATTGAAACGGCGGAAATCATCAAATTTAAAGAAGATGAAGGTAGAACTACACCAGAACAGCGCATATAAAAAGGAAAAATTACAAGGTGAGATAGAAAAAACTTTAATTGATTTACAATATCTAAGGACACACCTAAAAGAACGAAAACCTCTAAAGACACTTTCTTTGCCAAAGTCGATTGCTGAAAATATCCCAACACGTGATAGGAAATATCTAAACTTTAAAATATTGAGATCTGCAATAAAATTTAAATACATAAAAATTAAACGACTAAAACGAATATTAAAAACATGTAACAAAAGCGACAAGCAAACGGTAGTAGTAGAGCAGATTAAAATTTGACTCAATATGAAGATAATAAATATAAGAAATTAGTCAAAAAGTTTCACTATCCAGATAGAGAAGAAACAGAAGAATGGAAAAGATCGTTAGTGCTAAATAAAACAAGTACCGTTATTCCTGATAATGTCCTGGAGACAATACAAAATGGACTAGATTTTAATGGACCTAACCAATGGAATGCTTTGGACATAATACCAGACATAGATCGTATATGTAATAAGTTAAATGATACAGAATCAAAAATCATCAAAATAAATCTAGCAAATAAGATTGAGAAATATATAACTAAAAGAAATGGAAAAACCACTATAGAAGATAAAAATTATTATAAATATAAAAATAATATTGAAGAATTACATAACTTTTTAAAGAACAATCGACTAGAAATAATCAAAGCAGATAAATCTAAACAAATAATTATAGTTGAGCAAGAGTGGGTTAAAAAGAAAAAACAAGAATTAGTTGATAGTGATAAATTTAGAGAACTCCCAATTGACCCCATAGAAGTAATATATAAAGAATTAAAAAATAGAATTACCAAACTATACAAACTAAAAAGCTTAACTAAAGATGAAAAAGAATTTATCCTGAGCGAAAACAACGATCGTACACCGAAAATGAAGATACAACTTAAAACCCATAAAGCAGATGAATCCGTCCGTCCTATAGTTGACTTCAGAAATACAACGTTATATAATCTTGAGAAAATTCTAAAACAGAAACTAAAAATATATCAAAATTCTGAATTTGCTATTTATAATACTGATGAACTATTATGTGATATTAAACAGATAGATATAAAAGATACATACAGAATTGCAAGTCTGGACATAATTGATATGTACCCTTCCATAATATGGGAAATAATTGAACCAAAGCTGACACAACTTAAAATTGAACCTGAAATAATAGACCTAATCGAATTTACCTACAGAAGCAACTACTTTGAAATAAACAGTAAATATTACACACAGAATAGTGGAATTAGTATGGGGTCCGTAATAGGACCGAAACTAGCAGAGATCATAATGATAGATATAGACAAAGAAATAAGTGACATATATGGTATAAAGTTCTACAGAAGATACGTAGACGATGTCCTAATAATATATGATGAAGTCGAAATTAACACTAATGAAATCAGAAAAATAATAAATAATATCCATAAAAATATTCAATTTAAAATAGAAGAAGAAGATAAAATTACCAACAGCATAAATTATTTAGATATTACAATTAAAAGAAATAATACAAATCTCGAATTTGAACCGTTTAAAAAGCAGTGCTCAATAAATACCACAGTTAACTATAATTCTAACATACCACTTCATATAAAACAAAACATATTTAATATGGAATACACTAAAATCAAAAATAGAACTAGTATAAATACTAAACAAATCGAACATTTAAATACACTAAAGAAAAAATTTATTCTTTCAGGATACCCAAACAGAATCCTTAATATTTGGGAAAAAGAAATAGATAAAAAAACAGATAAAACAATAAGAATAGATCCTAAACAAGCCGAAATAAAATACATTCGTTTCCCATATATAAAAGGTCTATACGAAGAAGTTAATAAAGAAGTCAAAAAAATTAATGTAAAACTAGTACCGACATATGATAAGCTAATCTCCAGATTAAATGCAAAACAAGTTAACAAAACAAATATAACAAAGAAAGAAGAAAGTAAAAATGTAGTCTATAAAATTCCGTGTACATGCGAAAATAAAAAATTTTATATAGGTGAAACTAAACGTAAAGTTAAAGTAAGATTGAAAGAACATATAGCCGATTTGAAATATCGTAGACTAAATTCTGCTTTTCATGAACACTGCCTTTTAAATAATTGTAATATAGACAAAAATAATATAGATATTTTACACAGAGAAAAAGATACATATAAAAGAAAATTCAAAGAAAGTATAGAAATAATCAAAAATCAAAATAGTATAAATAAAAATCCTAGCATCTCTATAAACGAAAACTGGTTAAAAATTTTATATTAATTATATTCACTAGATTCAAATTATTATTATTGTGATCAATGTGCTAATTAATAACTATTGAACTGTTAAATAAATCAACAATAACAAAAAACTGTAATGTTATAATGGGAGTCAAATAATATGTAAATTTATATTAAATAATGTTTACCAACTTCAAGACATTGTAATATCATTAGTTCAAATAATAATCTATAATATTAAATATTGAAATGTTAAATAAATCAACAATCATACATTGTAAAAAAATATAGTAGATGTCAGATATGTAAATTTATATTGTAGAAGTTATGTAAATTTGTATTATATTGTCAACGCGTATTAAAGGAAATAAGGATTTTGTAAACAGATTTATGAGTAGAAGGAATAATCAATTGTATACCAATTTGATAATTGTTGTCCAATGTATGTTTTAGATCAAGGATTTTATAGAACTGTTTTATAAGTAAAAGGTACAATCAATTGTGTACAACTTTAATAACAGCCGTACTCAAGGTATGCCTTAATAGAAGATAGTTTTATAGATTCTGTAAAACTGATGTATAGTTTGTATATATGTCGTATACTCCCCTAATATTATAGTTGGCTAAAAGGGAAAAAATATTGTGAACAAGCTGATGTTACTGGAAAATATCGGGAGTAGCTGTTACTTCAATTTTTATAAAAAAACTTGTATGCATGGGTATGTTTATATTTTTATGAATTTTACAAAACTTGTGTATTTTTTTGTGTGTATGTTATATCCTCTTTTAATGTTTTAGTTGGCTGAAGAGGGGCTTAAAAGCCCGAAACGTGTAAAAAAATTTTTCACACGTATCAACTAAATAAAGACGAGACAACCCGCCAAGTGTCTTAATTTATAGCACTTTATTGTGTTAGAAGCATAAACGAAAGCACGGTTTCATATCATCAAAATAAAAAAATATTATATATAGGTTTAATTTTAGATAATCTTTTAAACATTTAATATTTAAAAGTTGGATAGTAATTTAGTTATTTTCCTTGTAAGAACAGAAAATATTATCTCCAATACTTATAAATGTTTGAGAATTTTTAATAAATTGAACTTTGTAAATTTGTAATTGTAATTATAATATGCTAATAAACATAATTATTAAAATTAAGCATAGTTAAAAAAAAAGCAGAAATACAAAAACATAACAATTTGATCAAATTTTGATAAAAATATTTAAATTTTCAGTATAAATGTGAATGCTATTGGCCTGATGAAGGAGAACAAAGACAATATGGGAACATTACTGTTGAATTGGTGAGTAAATATCAATTATGAAATACTTAATTGAGTATGTAGCAAAATTTATTAAATAAAGTTGAATACAGTATTTGAGTTAATAAAAATATTACCTTTATTAACATTTTAAGATGAAATATATTATGTAGACAAATATATTTATATTTGTTTACATAAATTTACAGGTATAAATTTTTTATTTAATATTACATTTGAAACATTTAAGCCAGTGTTACTGCTATCAACTTCCATTTTCACATTTTGTGAAAGTTTCAAAGAAATGATAACAATTTAAAATTGGCAACAGAAGTGCAAAAGCATGTGCCATTATGGAAAAACTGCACATTTGTGTCAAAACAGTGGGAAACACTTGAGTTGTTTGTCCAGCATACAAGTAGGGATACACCCTACTTATATGCTGGACAAACAACTCTAAATATTCTCCTAGTTTTAATTTTTCCATCTCAGAAGCTTTGCTTATATATAAAAGCATATAAATAAGAATCGGACAAATCTTCTGTAAAATGCATTGGCAAATTCTTGCGATTTTTTCAGACAATGCCACAAGCATTCAATTTTTTGTGTATGAATGCCTGTAACTGGACCAATGAAATTTTCAGCATGTTTTACAGTGCTGTGGGTTATTTTGACTCCTTCTAAATTTTTGATGTGATTGTAACTTTTCCATTTGTCCTTGTACACTATGATTCTTGAATTTACAAAGTTGCTAATAACCCAGTTCAGACTGACTTTGGACTTGTAATTTACTTTACACACAAAACAGGAATTATCATTGTGGCAAAATCAGCCAACAATCCACTTGGTGCCTTTCAACAACTACCCTGTTTTGTTTTTTCTTTTGCTCACCACGGTTTCATCGATTTTGATGATCTTTCCAGGTCCACCAATTTTTATTTTGGCCAAATTAGACAAGGAAACCATTATTACATGCCATATGAAATTTGCTCATTCTACAGATGTTCAACAATTAATGCTTACTACTGAACACGTCCCATTCAACATACAGTCCATGAAAATTAGATGCCAGGCAATTGACTAATATGTAGCCCAAGAAATCTTCCCAAATTTGCCTTTAAACGTATCTTTAAATACCAAACTATTCAACTTGCATTTATGGCATCAAAAGGCAACAGAATCACGAGTTTTCTGAAAAATTAATTTAATGGTGAGTAAATATTCAATTATGAAATACTTAATTGAGTATGTAGCAAAATTTATTAAATAAAGTTGAATACAGTATTTGAGTTAATAAAAATATTACCTTTATTAACATTTTAAGATGAAATATATTATGTAGACAAATATATTTATATTTAGTTATATTCGGTTTCCTTGTCTAATTTGGCCAAAATAAAAATTGGTGGACCTGGAAAGATCGTCAAAATCGATGAAACCGTGGTGAGCAAAAGAAAAAACAAAACAGGGTAGTTGTTGAAAGGCACCAAGTGGATTGTTGGCTGAATTTGCCACAATGATATAAATTTATACTTGTAAATTTATGTAGACAAATATAAATATATTTGTCTACATAAATTTACAAGTATAAATTTTTTATTTAATATTACATTGTGAAACATTTAAGCCATTTAAGGAATGTCGAGCATGATTCCACTGACTATCCAAACATTGTTGTCAAACTTCTAGGCTTACAGGAAAGTGGCACTGACCTTTACATTTCTCACAAACTGCATTCACAGGTTGCAAACCTAACTTTATCACAAACTTAAGATCAGATGAAATTCTTTTATTGACATCAATTTCAGGAAAATTAGAATCTAAAATATGGAAAAAATCCCAATAAATGAACTTTTGCCAAGAAGAGTGTTGATCATTTTCCAAAACCTCCATGCCATAGAAAAAAACTGCAAATACAGAAACTCTAATCATACTACAACACTTCAAACTAATGTACAATACTTTAAAATATTCCTATCTAAAACATAAAATGATTTGGCCATAATCTAAAAACCATATTACATAACAAATCACAATAACAATAATATACAAGACAGCAATATCTATGTTAACTATCCAAACACTCATGTTGTTTGAGATTTCTGGAAGTGTCACCATAGGAACTACCTAAGTAAACTTTTATCAAAAGCAGTTTCTATATTGAACTTCCAATATTTGGAATTATACATTTTAAACATTCAAATGCTCATATCTCACTGAAATGAATGTTATGTGGAAATGTGCTACCCATTGATCAGTTCTGTAATCTCTTTGCACTTTCCATTTCTACTCTACTTTGTTTCCTATTTAAAACTCAATAGCAAGGTTGAGGTTGAAGTTTTAAATGCAAAAATGTGTACATCGGACATTCAGCACTGTTTTCCTGTAAGCCTAAAAGTTTGACAACTGTGTTTGGAATGTCGAGCATGATTCCACTGACTATCCAAACATCGTTTTCAAACTTCTAGGCTTACAGGAAGGTGGCACTGAACGTCCGATGTACACGTTTTCGAGTTTAAAACTTCGGCCTCAACTTCGCTAGTACAGTAGAGCATTGATTATCCAACTCAATTGGGGACTCAGGTTGATCAGATAACTGAAAAAATCGGATAACCGAAAAGAATGAAAAAAATACATTATTACTATAGTATATTAGTATATCCCATGTAATTAGTATATTAGTATATTGCTATTAACCAACTTCGTGTTGAATTTTCATCGATGTTAAGCCTAACAAATTTTTTTTTTAAATAATAATCGTCGCTATTGTATCGTTAAAAATTATTTTAAAATTATTTTATTGCTCACAAAACAAACAACCTATCATAATTAGAAAATTAAGTCTCGATGTTGCCAGCTAAAACATGCAAAAATTTAAAAAATATAATATTAAAGTAGCCAAGACATAGCCAAATATTGTAGTGCCACATCACTAGTGGACATTTGAAATTTGCCGACTAGAACGGTCGGTTAACCGAAGTGACAGTTAATCGGGGGTCGGATAATTGATGCTCTACTGCATATCAAACTTTCTTGCCATTGATTTCAAATTTCACACTAATTGCTGTCTGTACAATGTATTTTAATGATATATTCTTAAATTCTTTATTTTTTTGTCATATAGACATCTATATTGTCTAACTTTTTCAATAAATACAGTAAACTCCCGATTATCCGGGCTAATGGTGGGGAGAGGTGGCAAGGATGAATCCAGAAACACGGATAATCCGAACTATAATTATTTATTTCTGAAATACAACATGTAGATTCATCTTTTTCAAATTTTTCAATTAATGTTAGTTTTTGTTTTATAGTAAGTATGACTTTCTTTCAGTTATTAGGCATTTTAAGGGTACTTATCTGAAAATTTAAAAAATAATCTTATTTTATGTAATTTTACACTAAAAGTATTTGTCGGAGAGTTATTTGAAAAAAAATATTATGTATAATATCTATTATATATACATACATATAATTAAATCTTAAATTGTAATACATATTATAACATGCAAGTAAACGAAACTTTGTATAAATATAATCACTATCGTTTTCTCCTTCAAAAAGAAATGTCTGGCATGAAAGAAGCGGCCTAACTAAAACCAGTCCAGCTGACTTCAGATACCCTACCACCTGCTTCAAACATCTAAATATGAACACGTGCACACTTATAGGATGTGTAAACGTGAAAGCGAGCAACTATTTAAAAAATACATACACGTATAATTATTTCTTTAAAATTAAATTCATGCACGGATAATCCGTGCATGGATAATCAGGAGTTTACTGTAGTTGAAAATTTATTTCCATTCTCTTTGCTATACTTTTTGCCATTATGACAGTCAAATTACACATGAGCATGCATCACAAATTTACTTGTTTTTATTGGTTGCAGTATGACAGGAAAGTTAAATAATTTTAAACTGTTTTCAGTCATATTTCTGTCAAACTGAAAACTTCATTAGTTTAGCTGTCAGTTTTACAATTCCATTGCGGATTCATGTGATGTGGGGTTCCGGCTTTGATTATATCTTTATGTAAACCAAAAGCTGTCCTTTAATGAGGAGGATCATACTAGCTCTATAAAAGTTAATCTCTCCTAGTAATCAAGGAACAGAATCCTTGATTACTAAAAATGCATTTTATAGTTATCAAAAGAAATTATTTTCCAGTCTGAATATTTAGAACTGTCACTTACATGTACTTAAAAATTTTTAAATCTATGTTTAGATGTTTAGTTTTTTGACATTATATATATATAATGTGTTTAGAATATATATATGAATCAAAAGTAGCAAGCTTTTATCATGAAAGCAATATTGATCAATATAATGAACATTTGTAAGTAAAGTTATCCCTATTTACTACTGTCTGGATATAGCAGACCAAACCTGCCCAAATTTTGTATGTTGATGTTTTCAGACATGTATACATATTGACATCCCAAAGCCTGATGTATTGATACTAATCCAAACTCTTGCTGTAATTATTTGGGCTATCATTATGCTATAATTAATAATTAGAAACTAGGTAATTTGATACTAGAGGTAGATATTAGGTGTCATCTCTTATCTAAATTAATAATTATAATTTAATAATTTATTAAATAATTTAGAACATTCTGGAAGAAAAAACCTAGCACAGAGAGGGACTTGAACCTGCAACCTCTATTTACTGTGCAGTATGTAGATTGGGCTTTGGGATGTTGATATATTTATATATATAATCAAGACAGGTTGATAATAATAATAAGTGCAGAGCCCAGATGGTTAGGAGTTGAAAGTTGAAATTTGGTACACAGTTAGGGTACGTCACGAGAACGCACACTAAGAAGGGATTTTTCAAAATTCCTCCCCACGGGGGAGAGGGACAGGATTAAGGTTTAACACTTCCATCAACAATGGACGTGTCAACAATGGAAGTGTTACGTAACTTACATAACAATGGAATTGTTAAGAGAAAGTGACATGCAAGAGGCAGATGCAGTTTTTTCGTTTTGTGAGAAATCAAACATATTTCTAAAAATTCTCTAATTAGTCTGGAAACGGGGACATAATTCTTGCACTCTGTGAAAACGAGTAAGGTTGACTATAACATAATAATCTTAATCTTTGCTATTGTTACTTTTGCCCGAGCAACGCCAGGCCTACCTGCTAGTATACATATATTCCATGTCATGTAAAGTGATTGCAGGCTGAATGCCATAGAGGAGGAGTACATAGGCTGAGAGTGTAGGAGCCATCCCAGCTGGAGCCATAAGTAACTGTGAATGGTTATATCTAAATTTATATACTTCTGGAAGCAAAGGCTTGCTCAGTGTTCAGATGGCATAAACTGTACAGTAAGTGAGGTTGCAGGTTCAAGTCCTGCTCCTGGCTANAGATCTAGGTCACATTTAAACATTTCTTTTTAAAAACTCTACTTGGAAAACTATTTTAAAAATGTAATTTTGCATTAAAAAACTACAACCTTCAGCTCTTTTAAATGATTTATAGTAGATAATATGTATCTTAACATTTTATTTTTTTTTCTTTTTTATTTTATTTCGAAAACTGTGTTACTTGTTCATCATTTTTCTAATCGAAAAATTGTCTTAGATGCAACTGATATTAATTAATAATAAGTTGGAAAAAATTCATTATTATTTGATGTAATAGCAATTTCTATTAATAATATCAATCATAGATTAATATTCTTCCTTGTTTTCTAACTTAATCTATATGATACAGACGAAAGACTAATCCATGTTATCAACTTGGTTCAACATCATAGTTGATTGAAGCTTCTATTAATTAAGTATGATGTTCTACAGAAATTAGAAATTTGTGGTTTGATTTTATTGCTAAAGGCATATCTAATTGGTGTACTGAAATTAATTTTCAATTTAATCCTATCTGATAGAAACATCTACTGATAATAGCTTAGTTTGATGGTTATAAAGTAATTATTATACTGTACAGCAAATTNATCTCAAATCTTCTTTCTTTCAAGGATCTTTTGAGTTTGAGGAATAAGAAAAAGTCACAAGGAACAAGGTCAGGTGAGTAGGAGGAGTAGGGAAGAACAGTGATATAGTGTTTGGCCAAAAACTCATGAGTTCTGAAGGCTGAATGGGCTGGAGCATTGTCGTGATGGAGAAACCAGTTGCCACTCTTCCACATTTTCTAACCTTTTGTGATGGCTGGTATCCCTCAGACGTTTCAGAACTTCAATGTAGTAAGTCTGGTTCACTGTGGAGCCTTGGGGGAGGTGTACCAAATTACTTAGTCTTTATTAAATGTAGCATAATAATAGCCCAATTAATTATGGCTAGAGTTTCGATCAGTTTGCACACATATGTATGAGATTTCATTGGAGAAAAATTTAGTTCCAAAACTCCCCACTATAGAACTCATGACACTGTAAACAGCAAAAATAAAAAAAACAGCAAATTCACAATGTACTGTACATATGCTATGATCAATTTCTGGGTATAATATTGTGTATGGCATATGAAATATTAGTCATACTAATGGAGATCAGCAGCACTGATAATTAATGTGCCAGATTGCATCTATTTTTTAAAACTGTTTAATGCAAACCTTGCAAATGCTGCAGCATGCTTCAAGAGTTACATTTTAAGAAATTGCACTGAAGTTTATTGCCATTCACAGTGCCACAAGTTTTGTTGTGGTAAATTCTGAACTAAGTTCTTTCCCTATGTGCAGGAAAAATTACATCAGTTGCAATTATCATTTCATAATAAATGAATTGACAAAGAAATTGGAATCTTAATTTCAGGATTGAAACACATATAATTAAATACAATTTACTATGTTTAAAAAATTTATTTTGTATTACTAGTACATTCTATATATTAACACGACTTATTATACTGGAATTATGGATGCAGATATTTAGTCTTACAGTTCAAAAATAATGTTCTTTATTTAGTTCACCTGAACACATACACTTTAAANTATACTGTACAGCAAATTTTGTTTACGTTGTTAAATTTAATTATTCTTTACTCCTGAAAGTTTTACATGAACAATTTTCCTGCAACGAAAAAAAAATTATATTTTTGACAATAAAAAACAAAATTTTTTTTAGTCAAACTTTTTACAAAGTAGAATTTATTTGAAATAAGTCATTTTATTTTTCTAGGAAAAAAAAATTTAGTCGGGAAATTGCAGCTTTACTCTTTTATATAGGATCAGCATATAAATCTAAATCCTGTTTCTGAGGCTAAAGCTGATGTCACATTTACAGTATTTTTTTTTTCTTCTTTCTACAAAATTTTGTACACTAGTACAATGATTTATTGCCTACTTTCTGCTCAATATATACTTTAAACTGTTTTTTTTTTTTTTTTTAACTTCTTTTCCTTAGATCAATTATTTACTATATATTGTATTATTATTGTATTTTTACGCTAAATTAAATTTTTAGGTATATAAGACTTCAAGAAGAGTGATAAATGAGCGATGTCTTTGCTGCCTGCATTTTTTATAAGCTTTTTAAATAATAATAAAAAAATTTATCTCCAAACAAGAGTGTCTAACAAGAAAAAATATATTTTAAAATCAGTTTTACATTATAAAAGTTAAAAACAAGTCAATATTTTTTAACTGACTGTAATCATATTTTGCCTATATAATAACCTTAAAACTCAAACAGGTATATACAGTTTTTCAAGTCTTAAACTTTACTTCGACTTAAGCGAAGTTTAAGAATGCAAATTGGATTATAATATGAATACTTTATTTCTTTTTAAAATTAGAATATAACCTACAATTTAAAGCTAAGTAAACATAAATTACTAATTATTTCGCTTTTTATTTTCGAGACATTTTCAGAAAAATAACACTTTTATGTACAAATAATGGCCTTTCTTAATTTAATTACGGTCAAAGAAACTTACTTTACTTCATTGCCAGATTTAGTTGAGTGGAGCAATATCTTGTTTTATAGATATTTTATATTCTTAGTTTACAGCTCTCCATTAAAATAAAAACTGAAATGATCTATTACAGCGTAAATTTATTGAATTTTTTTTTGTCTGTCATATTTTACTTTCATTTATCAAATTTTCTGTCTGGATTTACATAATATTTATGAGCTATCTTAACAAAAATTTTCATTACTTTTTTCCATTAGTAAAAGGACAATTTTTGTTGAAATTAAATTATTAATAGCTATGTTTTATCTTAAATTATTGATTTAATGACTATAAATTTTTACTTTTTTTATTTTATGTGTATATGTATTTGGAGTAAATGATTTTTAATGATGAGTAATTACGTGTAATAGATGTATTTTTTTTTTCGTTTTTTTAATATTTAATTTACGTTTAAGAAAGTTTTAAAATTAACGAAAGTATCACCCTTATTTCTACTAATGATAGAAGTGATTACAGTCATNCTTTCAAAATATAAATATTTTATTTATTAATAATTTCAAATACATTTTTAATATTATGTTTCATTAATATATAAATACATTACAATGCAGGTAAAATGGCGCCAAGTTTGTCCTGATTTTTTAGTTAGAACATTAAAAGCTTGTTGGGAAGATGAAACTAGAACAATTTGTCAGTTCCATTATGCAACGTGGCCTGATCATGGAGTACCAACATCCGTCCAGCCAATTTTGGAATTAGTTCGTCTTGTTAGGGATTGCCAAGCGTCTGAAGCTTTGCCAGTTTTAGTTCATTGCAGGTAAGATATTGGAAAATTATGTTTGAATTATAAAAAAATATTAAAATGAAATTTTAGTCTTTTTGATATTCTGCAAAATGATTTTATAAATAAGATTTACATTAATGATTAAAATATTAAAATATCATGATTATTAATAATTATTCAATATTTTATAATTTGTATCAGTGTCAATGATATCTCAATATGATTATATTCATAGGAAGAAAGATATTTCTGATTAATATATAATGTGTTAAAATTATTCAGCATTTATATAATAGTTTATTTGTGCATTTTTGTACGAGGTCTATTCAAAAAATATGCAGACTGATGTCATAAAACAAAATGTACTTTATGTAGAAGTTACATGTCTGGGTCCCCTTCAAAGTACTCTCCTTCCGAACATACACACTTATCCCAACAGTGTTTCCACTTGTTGAAACAGTCCTGGTATGCTTCTTTTGTAATGTCCTTCAATGCCTTCGTCGCATTTGCCTTAATCTTGGGAATCATCTCAAATCTTCTTTCTTTCAAGGATCTTTTGAGTTTGAGGAATAAGAAAAAGTCACAAGGAACAAGGTCAGGTGAGTAGGAGGAGTAGGGAAGAACAGTGATATAGTGTTTGGCCAAAAACTCATGAGTTCTGAAGGCTGAATGGGCTGGAGCATTATTGTGATGGAGAAACCAGTTGCCACTCTTCCACATTTTCTAACCTTTTGTGATGGCTGGTATCCCTCAGATGTTTCAGAACTTTAATGTAGTAAGTCTGGTTCACTGTGGAGCCTTGGGGGAGGTACTTGTGGTGAACAACACCTTTAGCATCAAAGAAAACTGTCAGCATCATCTTGACATTGGATCGAACTTGGTGATCTCTTTTTGGGTCTGGGGGACTACTAGAAACATGCCGTACGCTTCATAGCAACATCACCATCTCGAGCATAGCAAATGTTTCAGTTGCAGATTTTCCAAGTTTAACACAAAATTTCACAGCAAGTTGTTGCTCCATCAGGTCATTCGTTCTGAAATCCGACAAACGAAAAAATCACACTTCACTAAAAACCAAATAACTAATCAACAAATCAAGATATCTGTAATCGGGAAATGGCTTTATCACCAGATGATCTGTACAAACCTAGCGACACCAAGCAGATTCCCCTGGAACCAACTGGAGCCGCGCAATTCAAACAGTCCGTGTATTTTTTTAACAGACCTTGTAATATAATGATTTTTTAGAGTAGTTGTAACAATCACAAGTTATTGCATAAGCAATTTGAATCTTGATTTATTAGATTATTATAGACATAATGGCAAATATATTATCAACTATTTAAAAGAACTTTTATAAAATTTGATGCAAGTCACAAAATTATTTATATTAAACCCTGTGAAATTTGAAATGAACTTGTTCAGATTACATTGCTTTTTTCAGTTAGTGAATCAAATGTTATGATATAGATGGTTAATTTATTAAACTTGTTTTTTTATGGAGAATTGCATATAATTTTTGAGTAAACCTCTCTGCATTTTATGGAAAAACATACCATTAAATGAATAAATCATTTAAACTGAAAAATTTCTTACACGAAGAGTATTATAAAAGTAAAGATTTATAACTTCGCAATACAATACTTTTATTTTTATCTTCTGTGATTTAATACTTCTCTTTTCTTATTTCGTAGCTGCTCCACAAATACAAAGTTCAACTCAAGTTGTACAAGTAAAGAAATCCGAAAGAGCAACATTGTCTTGCTCTGCTTCTGGAGATCCTCCTCTAACAATAAGTTGGGATAAAGTAGGATTTCCTTTAGCATTATATCAAATAAAACGGTTAGTATATTTCTGTTATAATGAATAGATGATTTAGAGAATATTGCAAATATTTCTGACTCAAAATATGAATTTTATAAATGTATGAAAATATATCGCAAATCTACTATGCCTAACTATATTTAACTTATATATTTAAGTTTTGGTAAAAGTATTAAATTAAATTTTAGCTATACAATAGAAGAAACTGAAAGAGCAGATATCAAAACTTCCTTAGTTACAATATCACATGCAGAAAGAGAGGATACAAACACCTACACTTGTTTAGCATCAAATCCTTACGGTATTCAGAAGACAAAAGTCAGACTTATTGTTCAAGGTAAGTTATAACAAGAAGAGATAAATTTAAATTTATCCGAAAGATAACAATTTAAGAAATTACATTTGATATTTGCTTTATACATTAGGTTTGAACGTTTAATATGATAAGAAACAGAAATTATATTCAAATGTTTGTTTATAAATATGCATTAATATAAACTAAAGATAAATATCCAATAATTTAGTTTCTGTAAATGACTAGTCTAAATGTTATTGTTGAGATAAATTGCATTCACATTCATTACAGAAAATATTAATAGGATAATGGAATCAAATAATAATTTATCCGTAATAATTTAATTATATTACTGTTTTAAAATTTTAATATATATTAAATTAGTTTTAGTTCGATATAATGCTTCAAAGAAAAAAACAATATCATATGCATAAGTCTGAAAAACTTGGGATTTTTAAAGAGTTTAAATACAGTTTTTCCATTAACCTTGCATTTATTTTAAAATATTTTTCTTCTTTGAAGAATTATTTTTATTAGTAAGTTAACATTAATGCAGATAGTTGTCAAGTTGACAATTTAAAATACTCTTGCTAAGCAATAAATATTTAATTAATGATATTACTTTTAAAATTATGTAAACATCCATTAACAATTTAAAGTTTGATTGAAGTAGATCTTGATCAAATTGAAAATAAGAAGATTAAAATAAACTTAATTCTTGAAAAATTAATTCGATATTTACTTTACAGAGTTAACTCATTCTCATCTTGCTATAAGTTAAAAAAAAAAATGTAAATTTTAATTTCATACTAATTGATATATTTTTGAAATTTTTTAATACTAACTGTTGAATAATGTTACGTTTAAAAAATTGACATTGCCGTAAACTTACATGTTATAAGAACATCAGCTGACACTACTACGTAATTTAATTTCCTCGGGAAATAAAAAGTGCAATAATTAATCATTTATTAATTTATTTTAATTAATTCACATTATTAATAATTTACGCATAAGTTAATCAAAAAATTAAATAAAAATTAATGTTGTTTTTAATATTAGTGATTTTATAACTTACTTTGAAATTTATTAACTTTTTATTAATTTTTAAAAATTGCGTAAAATATAATATGAGAATTAAAACATTCATGAGTGAAATGCTGTGCTTGTTATTTTAAATGTATATATTAAATTTCTAAGAATGATAAATTATTCAAAGTTGTTATTTCTTGTTACTTGACAGATCTGGGTCAGAGATATTACAAGATACTTGTAATCTCGAAATTTAACTATCGCAAGAACAATTCGTNCTTTGGGAAAGATAAGCTTAGTACTTGGAAGTGGTACCCACATGATTTTTACCTGTATTATTATTTTCTACATTTTGCCTCCAAGTGGCAAGCTATTAAAAAGTTTTTAAATTATAATTTATTATACATAATAGGACATGAATTCTTAACTTTGTGCTATTTTATTATGAAATTAAAAAATTTCTTAATTCAAATGATTACATATTTTAAAAATTATGAACGAAAATTAAAATTCACTATAAATATACAAATATATATATGTGTGTGTGTGTGTGTGTATCTATCTATATATATATATTAGCAGATGAGCCTGGCATTGCTTAGGCAAAAATGTGCATTCTTATAGCTTACCCTAACTGTGTACCAAATTTCAGCTTTCAACTCCTAACTGTTTGGGTTTAGGGCTTATATTATAAATGCTGTTGAAGAGTCATATCATTTTACTTTGAATTTGGATATCTTTTGAAAAATTTCTTATCTATTTGAAATCTGTAAATTTATACAGTGGAACCTTGGTATACGACCTTAATCCGCTCCTGGTGTTTGGACTTATACCGAATAGGACGTATACCAAACCAACCTTTTCCTTAAGAAGTAATATAAAAATGATTAATCCATTCTCATGTAAAAAAAATGGTTGGCTTTAAACCTCGCTTTCCTGGTTAGTTCCTGCTTGATTTTTCATGAAATTAGCATGTATCTTTTTAGCTTTCTTGCAAATAATTGCTTCTGATATGCTGTCGTCAGCATACTGTTTTTCAGTTATCCAAAGCAAAAGCAATTTCTCAACATGATCTAATGTCTTCGATATCTGTTTAGAAATTGATTTAACCCCTTTTGCAACATTAGCAGATTTAATAATGACTTTATTTTTCAAGATTGTCAATATTGTTGTTCTCGGAATACAATATGCATCAGTTAAATCTTGAACACGCATTCCACCTTCATATTTCTCAACAATTTCTTTTTTCAGTTCCATTGAGATACTAGTCATTTTTTTAGTTTTCTGTTGCTTTTCATTTGCCTTTTTGCAATTAATAAAAATAATAAAATTTTACTTACAAATTAAAATCAGAAGAAATTTAACAAAGTTATAAACCATGGCACCGCAAACATCTAGTCTGGTCTAGTACACCGATAATGCTACTTGTTCATAGATGGCGCGTATAATAAATTAAGTCATATACCGAACAAAAGTTGTATACTGAGCAAAATTTGTTCTGTCCAAACAGGACTTATTCCGAATTGGACGTATTCTAAAGCAGACATATACTGAGGTACCACTGTACTTTATTAACAGGGGTGCACAACCTGCGGCCCGCGGGCCACATACGGCCCCCTATCAATGTTTATGCGGCCCTCGGACGGTACAGGCCAAATCCCTTCTTTCGAAGTTTCTAAGTGTAGTTTCTAAGTGACTTTTTCCCTTTCACAAAGTCATTAGCACCCAACTGTTTTATGACTTTCCCTGAGGTGAGAAATGGGGGATTGTTCTATAAATAAGTCTATTTTTAGCTAACACTTTCTGCTTTAGATANTTTTGTATATATGAATTTTTTTTTTAATATTAACTTTAAAATTTCAATTTAACACTAAATCATTTA